GGGCAGGGGCTCCCCCTCCCGGGTCCTCCAGCAGGTAAATGGGGCAGCGGAGCCCGGAACGGCGCAGGCGGAACTGGGGATGGGGACAGGGGACAACGGTGACCCCCCCAGGGACACCCCCAGGGACACCAGGGACACCCCCAGGGACACCGGGGACAACGGTGACACCCCCAGGGACACCCCCAGGGACACCCCCAGGGACATTGGGGACACCCCCAGAGACACTGGGGACAATGGTGACACTGGGGACACACCCAGGGACAATGGGGGACATGGAACAATGGTGACACCAGGGACATTGGGGACAACGGTGACACCGGGGACATCTCCAGGGACACCAGAGACACCCCCAGGGACAACGGGGACACCCCCAGGGACCCCCCCAGGGACACCAGGGACAACAGTGACACTGGGGACACCCCCAGGGACACCAGGGACACCCCCAGGGACACCCCCAGTGACACCAGAGACACCCTCAGGGACACCGAGGGACACGGAACAATGGTGACACCAGGGACAGGGGACAACGGTGACACCGGGGACACCCCCAGGGACACCAGGGGACACCCCCAGGGACATTAGGGACAACGGTGACACTGAGGACACCCCTAGGGACATCCCCAGGGACACTGGGGACACCCCCAGGGACACCCCCAGGGACACCCCTAGGGACACCCCTAGGGACACCTCAAGTGACACCAGGGACACCAGGGACATCCCAGTGACACCAGGGACACCCCTAGGGACACCAAAGACGTTGGGACACCCCCAGTGACACCGGGGACACCCCTAGGGACACCAAAGACGTTGGGACACCCCCAGTGACACCGGGGACACCCCCAGCAACACCAGAGATATGGGACGATGGTGACACCAGGGACACCCCCAGTGACACCAGAGACATGGGACGATGGTGACACCAGGGACACAGGTGACATTAAGGACACAGGGGACACCAGGGACACCCCCAGAGACACCAGAGACACAGGACAACGGTGACACCGGGGAAACGAGGGACACGGGACAGCGGTGACACCAGGGACACCACTGATGGGGGGGACACACGGTGACACCGATGGCATCAGCAGCATCAGCCCCTCCCAGTGCCCCCAGTGTCCCCAGTTATCCCAGTGCCCCCAGTTACCCCAGTATCCCCAGTTATCCCAGTGCCCCCAGTTATCCCAGTGCCCCCAGTCATCCCAGTACCCCCAGTCATCCCAGTGTCCCCAGTCATCCCAGTGCCCCCAGTTACCCCAGTGTCCCCCAGTCATCCCAGTGTCCCCAGTCATCCCAGTGCCCCCAGTCATCCCAGTGCCCCCAGTTACCCCAGTGCCCCCAGTTATCCCAGTGCCCCCAGTCATCCCAGTGCCCCCAGTTATCCCAGTGTCCCCAGTCATCCCAGTGTCCCCAGTTACCCCAGTGCCCCCAGTTATCCCAGTGTCCCCCAGTCATCCCAGTGCCCCCAGTCATCCCAGTGTCCCCAGTCATCCCAGTGTCCCCAGTTATCCCAGTGTCCCCAGTTATCCCAGTGTCCCCAGTTATCCCAGTGTCCTCAGTTACCCCAGTGTCCCCAGTTATCCCAGTAACCCCAGTTACCCCAGTGTCCCCAGTTATCCCAGTGCCCCCAGTCATCCCAGTGTCCCCAGTTACCCCAGTGTCCCCAGTCATCCCAGTGTCCCCAGTCATCCCAGTGTCCCCAGTCATCCCAGTAGCCCGTTATCCCAGTGCCCCCAGTCATCCCAGTGCCCCCAGTTATCCCAGTGTCCCCAGTTACCCCAGTGTCCCCAGTTATCCCAGTGCCCCCAGTCATCCCAGTGCCCCCAGTCATCCCAGTGTCCCCAGTTATCCCAGTGTCCCCAGTCATCCCAGTGCCCCCAGTTATCCCAGTGCCCCCAGTCATCCCAGTAGCCCCAGTTACCCATTGTCCCCAGTTATCCCAGTGTCCCCAGTTATCCCAGTAGCCCCAGTTACCCCAGTGCCCCCAGTCATCCCAGTGTCCCCAGTTATCCCAGTAGCCCCAGTCATCCCAGTGTCCCCAGTCATCCCAGTGTCCCCAGTCATCCCAGTGTCCCCAGTTATCCCAGTGTCCCCAGTTATCCCAGTGTCCCCAGTTATCCCAGTGCCCCCAGTTATCCCAGTAGCCCCAGTTATCCCAGTGTCCCCAGTCATCCCAGTGTCCCCAGTTATCCCAGTGCCCCCAGTTATCCCAGTGTCCCCAGTCATCCCAGTGCCCCCAGTTATCCCAGTACCCCCAGTCATCCCAGTGGCCCCAGTTACCCATTGTCCCCAGTTATCCCAGTGTCCCCAGTTATCCCAGTGCCCCCAGCAGCACCTTCTGCTCGCGGTAGCGCCCATCCCTCAGGCTGCTCCCCAAATCCGCCGCCGATTTCCGCTCCACCACCACGTCCAGGAGCAGCTCCCGCGGGGCGCGGCCTGGGGGGCGTGGTCACGTCAGGCCCCGCCCAACCGACCACGCCCCAGAGTGTAGATTGGACCGTGGAACCAACCCCTGGCCACGCCCACCCAATAAGGGATACGCCCACTACTCCAGGTGGGCGGGGACAGCACCTGGCCACGCCCCCTTGGGTGTGTAAATTAATCCTGACCCCGCCCTCAGCCCCACCCATTGATCTTGGCTCCGCCCACAAACCACACCCAGTCCCACGTGGGGGGAGCCTGGACGTGGCCACGCCCCCCTGGACACACCCAGCCATGCTATTGGTTGGTGTGCTTTGGGGGTGTGGTCAGCACCTGCTCCTCCCCCTCCCCAACTCTGCTGTTGCCACGCCCCTTCTTTGGCCCCACCCATCGCAATTGGCCACGCCCTTCCCTCTGGCCACACCCACCTGCGGGCAGGTTCTTCTCAAAGCCCCACCCCCTTTCCCCTGGCCACACCCACCAGTGGGTAGGTCCTTATCAAAGCCCCACCCCCCTCCTTTGGCCACACCCACAAGTGGGCAGGACCTTCTCAAAGCCCCACCCCCTTCCCTCTGGCCACACCCACCAGTGGGCAGGACCTTCTCAAAGCCCCACCCCTTCCCACTGGCCACACCCACCAGTGGGCAGGTCCTTCTCAAAGCCCCACCCCCTTCCCTCTGGCCACACCCACCAGTGGGCAGGTCCTTCTCAAAGCCCCACCCCCTTCCCTTTGGCCACACCCACCAGTGGGCAGGTCCTTCTCAAAGCCCCACCCTCTTCCCTTTGGCCACACCCACCAGTGGGTAGGTCCTTCTCAAAGCCCCACCCCCTTCCTTTTGGCCACACCCACCTGTGGGCGGGGCCTTCTCCCGGGCCACCCAGAGGAAGTCCCCGACGTGGAGGCGCCGCAGCAGCACCGGCACCCCCAGAGCCCTGAGCAGGGCAGGGACCCCCACGGGGCCTGGGGGGACACGGGGACACGTCACGGGGGGACACGGCATGGGGGGACACAGGGACATAGTCGTGGGGGGACACTGGCATGGGGGGACACAGGGACACGTCATGGGGGACATGCATGGGGGGACACAGGGACACGTCATGGGGGACACGGCATGGGGGACACCCACATGGGGGACACGCATGGGGGGACACGGGACACGTCACGGGGGGACACGGCATGGGGGGACATGGCATGGGGGACACTGCATAGTGGGACATGGGGGACATGTCACGGGGGACACGCCACGGGGGGACACGTCATGCGGGGGGACATGGGGACAGTGGGACGTGGGGGGGACATGGCACTGGGGGGGACATGGAGGGTGACAGGGACATGGGAGGAACACGGAGGGTGACAGTGACATGGGGGTGGTACAGGGACATGGGGGGGACACGGAGGGTGACAGGAACACGGGGGGAACACAGAGGGTGACAGGGACATGGGGAGGAACATGGAGGGTGACAGGGACATGGGGTGGGACATGGAGGGTGACAGGGACATGGAGGGGACACAGAGGGTGACAGTGACCCGTTGGCCTCGGTGACATCGGCGCACAGGACGATGTCGAACTCGCCGGGTCTCAGCTCGAACTCCTGCTCGGGGTCACACCTGGGAGGGGGGGGACTCCAAATTCACCCTCAGGGGGACCCAGAGAGCTGTGACCCATCCCCCCCAAACTCCTGTGACCCCCAACAGGTGTCTGGTCCCCCAGGTGTCTGTGCCTCCCCAGACCCTTCCCAGTGACTCTGTCCCCCAAACCTCCTGGGTGACCCCAACAAGCCCCAGACCTCCCCAAGTGTCTGTGACCCCCAAGTGTCTGTGACACCCCCAGGCCTCTCCCAAGTGTCTGTGACCCCCAAAGTCTGTGACACCCCAGACCTTCCCCAAGTGTCTGTGAGCCCCCAAGTGTCTGTGAGCCCCCAGACCCTTCCCCAAGTGTCTGTGACCCCCAAGTGTCTGTGACCCCAGGCCCCTCCCAAGTGTCTGTGACCCCCAGACCCCCTCCCAAGTTTCTGTGACACCCCCAAGTGTCTGTGACCCCCAACTGCTTCCATAACCCCCAGACCCTCTGACCCCCAAGTGTCTGAGACCCCTAGACCCCCAAGTGTCTGTGACCCCCAACAGCCTCCTGTGACCCCCAAAGTGTCTGTGACTCCAACCACCCCCAGTGTCTGTGACCCCCAACATCACCCCAAAATGACTCACGGTGGGGAGAGGGGCGCAGTTCTCCTCCTCGCCCCGCCAGGGCGCTGCGCGGGCGGGGCCTGGGCGGGGCCTCGGTGGGCGGGGCCTGTGATGCCAGCAGCCAATCGCTGGGCCAGGATTTGACCCCGGGGGTCAGCGAGAACCTGGGGGGACGACATGGGGGGTCATGGGGACTCTGGAGGGTCCCACAGGGGGTCCCTCGTGGGCAAGGGGTGGTTCTGGGGGTCCTAGATGGTGATTTGGGTGGGGGTCTTGAGGGGGAGTCCTGGGAGGTGATGGGAGGTGGTCCCAGAAGTTCAGGGGTGGTCCCGGGGGAGTCCTGGAGCAGTTCCAGGGGGGTCCTTGGGGTCCTGAGAGTCCTGGGGGGGCATCCTGGGTGTTTTAGGGGGGTCCCAGTGGGGGTCCAGAGGAATTTCTGGGTGTCCCGGGGTGGTCCCAGGGGGATCTTGGGGAGTTCCAGGGGGGTCCCCAGGGGTCCTGGAGGGGGGGGGAATTCCAGGGGGTTCCAGGGTCCCAGAGGGGGAGTCCTGGGGGTCCCAAGAGAGGTCCAGGGGTGGTCCAAAGGGGGCACCCAAAGGTTCTGGGGGATGCCAGGAGGTCCCTGAGGGTCTCAGGGGTTCCTCAGGGGGTCCCAGAGGGGTCAGGGGGATTTGGGGGTCCGGGCATACCGGAGGGCGGCCGCTCCGCTGCAGCAGGTCCCGACGCAGGAGGGCACCCAGAGCCCCCTGAGGGGGAGGGGACACAGGGGGTGACCCCAATGTCACCCTCAGGGGGTCCTGTGGGTGGGGGAGCAGGTCTGGGGTGGGGGGATTTTGGGGGTCCTCACCGGGGTGGGGGTCATCGCAAAGGGCCGGGCCTGGCGCAGAAGCTCCGCCTGTGGGAGGGGCTCCGGGCTCTGGGGGTGGAGCTTTGGGTGAGGAAGGAGGGGCCAAGGGTCCAGGCCCCTCCCCACCCCCCTCAGGTGTGGCCCCTCCCCCATTGTGGCTCCTCCCCCACCCTCAGGTGTGGCCCCTCCCCCATTGTGGCTCCTCCCCACCCTCAGGTGTGGCCCCTCCCCCATCGTGGCCCCTCCCCTCACCTGTGCCAGGACCACCAGCAGGGCGTGGGCCCCTGAGCGGGGAGGGCCGAACGCTCGGGGGCGGCGCTGAAAGGGGAGGGTCAGAAGTTGGGGGGAGGGGGTCTTGGTGACCGCCCCACCCCTCCCCACGCATGGAAGGGGGTGGGGCCAGAGGGGTGGGGAGGGCGATGATGAGACTCACTTTGGGCGGAGCCAAGAGGGGTTCTGGGTCCCGCCCCTCTGAGGGTGGGGTTGGGGGCAGGCCTTGCTCTGTGGTATGCAAATGAGCATGCAAATGAGCATGCAAATGAGCATACAGCTCAGTGAATAAAACAGCCTCATTGGACCTGTAGCTGTTCTGGCTCCACCCACTTCAGAGCCACACCCACTAGCAAAGCCCCACCCCCCTCCCTGGCCCCACCCCCTCCAGGGCCTGTAGAGCAGTTGAGTCAACGGAGGCCACGCCCACAGTGACCCCACCCACCATGTGCAGGCCACACCCACCCTCAGGCCCTTTCTCTTTAACCACGCCCCCTTTGAAAAGGCCACACCCCCAACTTTTAGCCCGCCCCGAGGCCACGCCCCTTCACTTGAGACCACGCCCTCCCTCATTCCCCTGCAGATGTGGGTGTGGCAGTGGGGGCGGTGCCCTATTCAAGCCACGCCCTTCATTGACCACACCCACCCCTTCTCAAAGCCACACCCACCCTGCCCAGAGCCCCACCCATGTTGGCCCCACCTATTTCCCCTCAGACTCCACCCCCAGAGCCCCACCCACCATGTTGATCCCTGCCCAAGCCACGCCCCCTCCATGTTGGCCCCACCCATTTTCCCTCAGACTCCACCCCCCCAACAGAGCCCCACCCACCATGTTGGTTCTGCCTCAAAAGCCACGCCCCCTCCCGCACTGCCACGCCCACTTTCCCTCAGGCCACCCCCCCAGACAGAGCCCCACCCACCATGTTGGTTCTGCCTCAGAAGCCACGCCCCCTCCCACATCACCATGCCCACTTTCCCTGAGGCCACGCCCCCAGGCAGAGCCCCACCCACCACGTTGGTTCTGCCTCAGAAGCCACGCCCCCTCCCCCACTGCCACGCCCACTTCCCCTCAGGCCACGCCCCCCAGGCAGAGCCCCGCCCACCGGTGCGGTGCTGGCGCAGCCGTTGGTCGAGGCGCTGGCAGAGGGCGGGGCCGAAGTGACGCAGGATCGAGGCCGAGCGGCCCGAGCGGAGCCGCAGCGGGAACAGCGACAGCGAGCGCAGGGCCTGGGGGAAAATACAGACCTGGGACCCCAAAAATACACCTGGGAGCCGTAAAATACAGACCTGGGAACCCTAAAATACAGACCAGGGACCCCAAAAATACAGACCAGGGACCCCAAATATACACCTGGGAACCCCAAATATACACCTGGGAACCCTAAAATATACCTGGGAACATCAAATGTACACCTGGGAACCCTAACATAGACCTGGGAACCCCAAATGTACACCTGGGAACCCCAAAAATACACCTAGGAACCCTAAAATACAGACTAGGGACTCCAAAAATACAGACCAGGGACCCTAAAATATACCTGGGAACCCTCAAAATACACCTGGGGACCCCAAAAATACACCTAGGAACCCTAAAATACAGACCAGAGACCCCAAAAATACAAACCAGGGACCCTAAAATATACTTGGGAACTCTCAAAATACACCGGGGGACCCCAAAAATACACCTAGGAACCCTAAAATACGACCTGGAGACCCCAAAAATACAGACCTGGGACCCTAAAATAGACCTGGGAACCCTCAAAATACACCTGGGGACCCCAAATGTACACCAGGGAACCCCAAATATACACCTGGGAACATCAAATGTACACCTGGGAGTCCCAAAATACACCTGGGAACCCTAAAATAGACCTGGGAACCCTCAAAATACACCTGGGAACCCTAAAATACACCAGGGACCCTAAAATACAGACCAGAGACCCCAAAAATACAGACCAGGGACCCTAAAATAGACCTGGGAACCCTCAAAATACACCTGGGGACCCCAAATGTACACCTGGGAACCCTAAAATACACCTGGGAACCCCAAATGTACACCTGGGAGCCCTAAAATAGACCTGGGAACCTAAAATATACACCTGGGAGTCCCAAAAATACACCTGGGAACCCTAAAATAGACCTGGGAACCCCAAATGTACACCTGGGAGCCCTAAAATAGACCTGGGAACCCTAAAAATACACCTGGGGACCCTAAAATACACCTGGGAACATCAAATGTACACCTAGGGAGCCCAAAAATACAGACCAGGGACCCCAAAAATACACCTGGGAACCCCGAATGTACACCTGGGAACCCTAAGATATACCTGGGAGTCCCAAAAATACACCTGGGAGCCCTAAAATAGACCTGGGAACCCCAAAATAGACCTGGGGACCCTAAAATACACCTGGGAACATCAAATGTACACCTGGGAGTCCCAAAAATACACCTAGGGAGCCAAAATACATCCGGGAAGCCCAAAATCATCCCCCCAAGGGTCCCCAGAAACTGCCCAGAGGGGCCCCAAACCCACCTGGGATCTCTCAAAACCCATCGAGAGGACCCCGAAATCATCCATTTGGGGACACCCAGACCCACCTGAGAACCCCCAAAACCCACCCTGGGGACCCCAAACCAGCAGCAAGGGACCCCCAAACCCAGCTGGGGACCCCCAACCAGCAGCCAGGGACCCCCAAAACCCACCTGGGGACCCCAAACCAGCAGCCAGGGAGGACAAAACCCACCCTTGGGACCCCAAACCAGCAACCAGGGACCCCAAAACCCACACTGAGGACCCTCCCCAAAACCCCCTGGGGGCCCCAAACCAGCAGCCAGGGAGGACAAAACCCACCTGGGAACCCCAAATAAGCGCCTGAGGATCCCTCCCCCAAACCCAGCTGGGGACCCCCAAGCCACCCTCCTCCCAGGACCCCTCCCCCGGGACCCTCCCACACCCTCTCGTAGGTGCCCCTCGCCCACGTCCCCTGGGCCTCGTCCTGCCACTCCCGGAGCCACCGGGTGAACAGCGGGTTGGGGGCGCAGGGGGCGGCGGCGTTGGGAGAGACCCCGGAGGGTTCCCGGGGGTCCTGGGGTCCCGGGGTCCTGGGAGGGTCCGTGAGGGGAGCGGCGGCCGCCATGTTCGAACGTTCCCGCCACGGCCCCCGCGGGGCCGCTCTGGCCCGCGCCCGCCGCTCCGGGGAATGCGACTCGTCTGCTCTGGAGGACCATCCCGCCACGCCGCTCTAGGCAGCCCGGAGGATCAACTCGTCTGCTCTGGAGGACCCGGCTGCCCCGAGACCCCCAAATCCTCCCGGGGTGAGGGGGCTGGGGGGGGAACGTCCCTCAAACCCCCCAAAACCTCCTCAAAACCCCCCAAACCTCCTCCAAAACCTCCACCCTCCCCAAAAACCTCCCACCCCAAATCTTCCTCCCAAATCCTCCAGAGGGGTGGGGTGGGGGGGTACATTGTCCCCAAAACCTCCTCCCAACCCCCCAAATCCTCTTCCCTACCCCAAATCCTCCTCCCAAATCCTCCCATGGGGGGGGGGGGGTTAAACCCTCCACCCAACCCCAAAAACCTCCTCCCAAACCCCCAAATCCTCCTCCCAACCCCCCAAATCCTCCCGGGGGTTTAAACCCTCCACCCAACCCCAAAAACCTCTTGAAAGGGCATAAATTGTCCCCCTAAATCCTCCCTCCTGCCCGTGGGGAGGTTCAATCCTCCCCCCTCAACATCCCAAAAATCCTTCTGGGGCTCCTCCCCTGGAGCCACCCCCCTCCAAAATAACCCGAGGGGGGGGTAAATCCCAACCCCATCCCCCCCAAATTCCACCCTGTCCCCCAAATTCCGACCCCCCCAGGGCAGGAGGAGCCGTTTCCAGCACAGCAAAAACCTTTATTGTTTAGAAAATCCTTTTAAAAACAAACCAGGAGAGGGGAAGGGAGGGCGGACAACCCCCTAAAATAACACAGAGACCTCCCCTCCTTGTTTGAGTGAGGGGGGGGCACCCCAAAATAACACCAATCCCCCCCAAAATAACACAGAGACCTCCCCTCCTTGTTTGAGTGAGGGGGGGGCACCCTAAAATAACACCAATCCCCCAAAATAACACAGATCCCCCCCTTGTTTGAGTGAGGGGGGGGCACCCCAAAATCCCACCCCATGGTAGGGGGAGGTGGTTTTGGGGTGATGGGGGAGGAGCAGCACCCTGGGATCCCCCCACAAAGGGATGGATGGGGGGGATGGGACACCCCCAAAATGGATTTGGGAAGGGGGGGAGGGCAGAACTGGTTTGGGGGTCACACATAGGGTGGGTAGGGGGGCTGTGGAGGTTTTGGGGTGCAGGGGAGGGTTTGGGGGTCCCCAGGGATGGTTTTGGGGTTACCCATGGGAGGTCTCAACTCATCCAGGGGGTCCCAGAGGTGATTTTGGGGTCCCCAGGGGATTTGGGATCCCCAAAGGTGGTTTTGGGATCCCCAGGGGGATTTGGGGTCCCCAGGGATGGTTTTGGGGTCCCCAGGTGGTTTTGGGATCCCCAGAGGTGTTTTTGGGGTCCCCAGGGGGATTTGGGGTCCCCAGGGATGGTTTTAGGATCCCCAGGAGGATTTGGGGTCCCCAGAGGTGGTTTTGGGGTCCCCAGGGGTGGTTTTGGGGTATCCAGAGATGGTTTTGGGGTCCCCAGGGGTGATTTTGGGATCTCCAGGGGGGATTTGGGGTCCCCAGGGGTGGTTTTGGGGTCCCCAGAGGTGGTTTTGGGATCCCCAGGGGTGGTTTTGGGGTCCCCAGGGAAGGGTTCTCTGGCAGTTGGAACTCACCATGAGTTTGGGGGTGCATGGGGGTCTGCTGGGGGGTGTTTTGGGGTTCCCGGTGGCTTTGGGGTATCTGGAGAAGTTTGGGGGTCCCCAGGGGTGGTTTTGGGGTACTCAGGGGGGGTCCCACTGCCCCTGGATGTGTCTGGCAGTTGGAATTCAGGGGGAATTCTGGAGATGGATTTGGGGGTGTTTTGGGGTGCCTGGGGTGGGCTCTGGGGTGCAGGGGGGGTTTGGGTTACCCACAGGGGTTCGGGGGTCCCCACAGATGGTTTTGGGGTGCTCAGGGGATCCCTCAAATCCTCTGTGGGGATCCCACAGGCCCAGGATGTGTCTGGCAGTTGGAATTCAGGGGGAATTCTGGAAATGGGATTGGGGGTCTTTTGGGGTGCCAGGGGTGGGTTTTTGGGGTACAGGGGTTCGGGGATCCCCACAGACGGTTTTGGGGTGCTCAGGGGATCCCCCAACCCCTCTGTGGGGATCCCCCAGCCCCCGAATTTACCCGGCAGGCGGAATTCGCCGGGAATTCTGGATCGGGGTGGGATCGGGGAGCTTTGGGGTGCTGGGGAGGTTTGGGGGCACAGGGAAGCTCGGGGTGGTGGGGGAGGTTTTGGGGTGCCCCTGGTGGGGTGGGGGGCTCAGAGGAAGGCGTCACACCACTCCCTCAGGCAGCCCGAGCAGTCCCGGCTCTGTTTGGCGTTGGCTCCGCACGTTTCCTTCAGCCACTCCCGGAACAGCTCCTCGTCCTTGCGCAGCACCAGGAACTGCCCCAGCACCACGTAGGCCTGGGGGGGACATAAAAGTGTCACCAGGGGACAGGGGACACCCTAAAGGTCACTGACACCCCCCTGGTGTCTCCTTTCCCACCCCCATTCCCATTTCTCCAACAGCTCCTCGTCCTTGCGCAGCACCAGGAACTGCCCCAGCACCACGTAGGCCTGGGGGGGACATAAAAGTGTCACCAGGGGGGTCACCAGGGGACAGGGGACACCCTAAAGGTCACTGACAGCCCCCTCAGTGTCCCCAAGGGGCTCCTTTCCCACTCCCATTCCCGTGTCCCCAACAGCTCCTCGTCCTTGCGCAGCACCAGGAACTGTCCCAGCACCACGTAGGCCTGGGGGGGACATAAAAGTGTCACCAAGGGACAGGGGTGACACCAGGGGGGTCACCAGGGGACAGGGGACATCCTCAAAGGTCACTGACACCCCCCTGGTGTCTCCTTTCCCACCCCCATTCCCATTTCTCCAACAGCTCCTCGTCCTTGAGCAGCACCAGGAACTGCCCCAGCACCACGTAGGCCTGGGGGGGACATAAAAGTGTCACCAGGGGACAGGGGTGACACCAGGGGGGTCACCAGGGGACAGGGGACACCCCCAAAGGTCACTGACACCCCCCATGGTAACTCCTTTCCCACCCCTGTCCCTGTGTCCCCAACAGCTCCTCGTCCTTGCGCAGCACCAGGAACTGCCCCAGCACCACGTAGGCCTGGGGGGGGACATAAAAGTGTCACCAAGGGACAAGGGACATCCTCAAAGGTCACTGACACCCCCCTGGTGTCTCCTTTCCCACCCCCATTCCCATTTCTCCAACAGCTCCTCGTCCTTGAGCAGCACCAGGAACTGCCCCAGCACCACGTAGGCCTGGGGGGGACACAAAAGTGTCACCAGGGGGGTCACCAGGGGACAGGGGACGTCCTCAAAGGTCACTGACAGCCCCCTCAGTGTCCCCAGGGGGTTCCTCTCCCACTCTCATTCCCGTCCCTCCAACAGCTCCTCGTCCTTGAGCAGCACCAGGAACTGCCCCAGGCCCTGAGGGGAGTGGGGGACATTGAGGGGGTCACCAGGGGGGTGGGGACATCCCCGTGTCCCCAAGGGGGTCCTGCAACCCCTGGTGTCACCAAGGGGTCCCCGTATGTGTTCCTAAGCCAGTCCTGTCCCCAACCCCTCAAGGATGTCCCACCTCGTTCTCAACATCCTCAGGGATGTCCCCAACTTGTCAAAACCCTTCCCTGGTGTCCCCAACCATCCAAGGGTGTCCCCAGGTGTCACCAACACCCAAAGATGACCTCAGGTGTCCCCAATATCCTCAGGGATGTCCCCAGGTGTCCCCAACACCCTCAGGGATGTCCCCACCTTGTCAAAGCCCTTCTCCTCCAGCTTCCTGCCCAGCACGTCCCCAATCCCAAATCATGTTCCCTGGGTGTCCCCAACACTCCAGGGACCACCTCAGGTGTCCCCAACCCTCCAGGGGCGTCCCCAGGTGTCACCAACACCCTCAGGGATGTCCCCACCTTGTCAAAGCCCTTTCTCCTCCAGTTTCCTGCCCAGCACATCCCCAATCCCAAATCATGTTCCCTGGGTGTCCCCAACACTCCAGGGACCACCTCAGGTGTCCCCAACACCCTCAGGAATGTCCCCAGGTGTCCCCACCTTGTCAAAGCCCTTCTCCTCCAGCTTCCTGCCCAGCACGTCCCCGATCCCGGCCAACGACCCCACCGGCTTCTCCCCCATCGGCTCCGCCACGAAGTCCCGGTGCCTCTGTGACGTGGAGGACATGGCGCCTGGGGACACACAGGGGACACTCAGGGGACACTCAGGGGACAGTGGGGACAGTCAGGGGACAGTGGGGACACTCAGGGGACACTCAGGGGACAGTGGGGACACTCAAGGGACACTCAGGGATATCTGGGGACACTCAGGGGACAGTGGGGACACTCAGGGGACAGTGGGGACCCAAAGGGGACACTCAGGGGACAGTGGGGACACTCAGGGGACAGCGGGACCTCAGGGTGACGTGGAGGACATGGCGCCTGGGGACACACAGGGGACACTCAGGGGACAGCAGGGGACAGTGGGGACAGTCAAGGGACAGTGGGGACACTCAGGGGACACTCAGGGGACAGTGGGGACACTCAAGGGACACTCAGGGGACATTGGGGACACTCAGGGGACAGTGGGGACACTCAGGAGACAGTGGGGACCCAAAGGGGACACTCAGGGGACAGTGGGGACACTCAGGGGACAGCGGGGACACTCAGGGGACAGCGGGGACACTCAGGGGACACTCAGGGGACAGTGGGGACACTCAGGGGACAGCGGGGACACTCAGGGGACAGCGGGGACACTCAGGGGACAGTGGGGACACTCAGGGGACACTCAGGGGACAGTGGGGACAGTCAGGGGACAGCGGGGACACTCAGGGGACAGTCAGGGGACACTCAGGGGACACTCAGGGTGCTTCTGTGACGTGGAGGACATGGCGCCTGGGGACAGTCAGGGGACAGCGGGGACACTCAGGGGACACTCAGGGGACACTCAGGGGACAGTGGGGACACTCAAGGGACACTCAGGGGACATTGGGGACACTCAGGGGACAGTGGGGACACTCAGGAGACAGTGGGGACCCAAAGGGGACACTCAGGGGACAGTGGGGACACTCAGGGGACAGTCAGGGGACAGTGGGGACACTCAGGGGACACTCAGGGGACAGTGGGGACACTCAGGGGACATTGGGGACAGTCAGGGACACTCAGGGGACACTCAGGGGACACTCAGGGGACAGTGGGGACACACAGGGGACACTCAGGGGACAGTGGGGACGCTCAGGGGACAGCAAGGGGACAATGGGGACACACAGGGGACAGTGGGGACACTCAGGGGACACTCAGGGGACAGTGGGGACACTCAGGGGACCCTCAGGGTGCCTCTGTGACGTGGAGGACATGGTGCCTGGGGACACACAGGGGACACTCAAAGGACATTGGGGACACACAGGGGACCTTGGATACACTCAGGGGACATTGGGGACAGTCAGGGGACAGTGGGGACACTCAGGGTGCCTCTGTGATGTGGAGGACATGGTGCCTGGGGACAGGGGGGACATTGGGGACAGTCAATGGACACTCAGGGTGCCTCTGTGATGTGGAGAACGTGACGCCTGGGGACAGTGGGGATGCTCAGGGGACATCAGGGACAGAGGGGAACAGTTCAGGGACAGGGCCAGGCTGGGAACAAGGCAACCTCCCCAATTCCCCCCATGCCCCCTCCCCCTTCACTGTCCCCTCCCCTCCTTCTTTCGTCTCTGTCCCCTCAGCCCCCCGACCCCTCTCACAACCCCCGCTGCCCCCACCCTTCTTGTCCCCTCCATCCCCTCAGTGTCCCCCGGACCTCCCCAGCTCTACCCGCCCTTCACGGTCCCCTCAGACCCCTCACTGTACTCCCCAGCCCCTCCCCATCCCCCACCCCTCAGACCCCTCCTCACCCCACAGGGTCCCTCAGACCCCTCAGTGTCTCCCCAGCCCCTCAGACCCCTCCTCACCCCTCAGAGTCCCTTCAGACCCTCCCCATCCCCTCCCACCTCCTCAGACCCCTCCTCACCCCGCAGGGTCCCCTCAGACCCCTCCCCATCCCCTCCCACCCCCTCAGACCCTTCCCCATCCCCCACCCCCTCAGACCCCTCCTCACCCCTCAGAGTCCCTTCAGACCCCTCCCATCCCCACCTCCTCAGACCCCTCCTCACCCCTCAGACCCCTCCCCATCCCCTCCCACCTCCTCAGACCCCTCCTCACCCACTGCAGGGTCCCCTCAGACCCCTCCCCATCCCCTCCCACCCCCTTCAGACCCTTCCCCATCCCCCACCCCCTCAGGCCCCTCCTCAACCCTCAGAGTCCCTTCAGACCCCTCCCCATCCCCTCCCACCCCTCAGACCCTCCCCATCCCCCCACCTCCTCAGACCCCTCCTCACCCCTCAGAGTCCCCTCAGACCCCTCCCCATCCCCCCACACCCTCAGACCCCTCCTCACCCCGCAGGGTCCCTCAGAACCCCCACTCTTTTTCCCCCTCAGACCCCTCATTGTTCCCCCCAACCCCTCAGACCCCTCAGTGACCCCTCCCCACGCCCCTCACACCTCCCCCTCCCTGTCCCCTCTGGCCCCTCCTGCTCCCCTCCCCTTCCCCCTCAGGGTCCCCCACCCCTCAATGTCCCCTTCAGGGTCCCCCTCACCCCTCAATGTCCCCCCGTCCCCCTCCCCCTCACCGTCCCCTCGGCTCCAACCGCCGCTCCCGCCTCAGGCCGCCGCCGCCGCCGCGCACTGACGTCACTTCCGGCGGCGCCCTCCCCGGACGCCACTTCCGGATTCTGCCGCTGCCAGGAGGGGCGCTCTGGCCGCGGGCGGGACCATAGAGAGGAGCTGGTCCTCCAGGACCGCCGGGAGAGCGGGAAAAGGGTCCAAAAAACCTGGAAAAGAGCCCAAAAAACCTGGAAAAGGGGCTGGAAAACTGGGAAAAGGGTCCAAAAAACCTGGAAAAGGGTCCGGAAAACCAGGAAAACGGTCCGGAAAACCTGGGAAAGGGTCCAAAAAACCTGGAAAAGGGTCCGGAAAACCTGGGAAAAGGGTCCGGAAAACCTGGAAAAGGGTCCGGAAAACCGGGAAAAGGGCCCAAAAAACCGGGAAAAGGGTCCGGAAAACCGGGAAAAGGGTCCGGAAAACCGGGAAAAGGGGCTGGGATAGCTGGAAAAGGGTCCGGAAAACCTAGAAAAAGGGCTGGGATAGCTGGAAAAGGGTCCAAAAAACCTGGAAAAGGGTCCGGAAAACCAGGAAAAGGGTCCGGAAAACCTGGAAAAGGGGCTGGGATAGCTGGAAAAGGGTCCAAAAAACCTGGAAAAGGGTCCAAAAAACCGGGAAAAGAGCCCGGAAAACCGGGAAAAGGGTCCGGAAAACCTGGGAAAGGGGCTGGGATAGCTGGAAAAGGGTCCGGGATAGCTGGAAAAGGGTCCGGAAAACCTGGAAAAGGGTCCAGGTACTTTGAGATAAATTTGGGGGCCAAATGGAAAAAAAATTCAGGGCCAAAAGGAAGAGATTTTGGGGCATAAAAACGGACTTGGAAGCAAAAAAAAAAAAAACCTCAAGGGAGTTGGGATAAAGAACAGGGATTTGGGGGCAAAAATAGGGAATTTCGAGATAAAAAGGGGGATTGGGGGATAAAAAAATGGTGAACTTTAGGGAAAAAATGGGGGGGGAAAAAAGGGAATTGGGTGAAAAAGGGGAAAAAGATTTGGGGCAGGAAAGGCTCAAAAATCGACACAAAACCCATCAAATTGCACCAAAACACCTCAAAATCCAGGTGGGATCAGGGCCCCCCCATTTTGTGCCCCCTCCCCCACCTTTTGACCCCCATAGTCCCTTCCCACCTCCCCCAATTTTTGGGGCCACACACTGAGAATTTGGGATTTTTCCACACTTTTTATTTATTTTTTTTTTGGGGGGGGTTTCCAACGCTTCAATCCCGCTCTGGGAGCCCCCCCGTAAATTGGGGACCCCCCCATAAATTGTAGATTCCCCCCAAAAATTGTGGATCTCCCCCATAAATTGGGGACCCCCTCCTAAATTTGGGGGACCCTCATAAATTCCAGACCTCCCCATACATTGAGGACCCCCCCCATAAACTGAGGATTCCCCCATAAATTGGGGACCCTCCCCCATAAATTGGGGACCACCCCATAAATTTAGGACCCCCCCATCATAAATGGGGGACCCCCCCATAAATTTGGGGGGTACCCTCATAAATTGGGGACCCCCCAATAATTGGTGACCCCCCCATTAATTTGGGATCCCCCCATAAATTTGGGATCCCCCAGTAAATTGTGGAACCCCCTCATAAATTGTGGACCCCCATAGAATTGGAAACCCCCCCAAATTATGGACCTCCCTCTAAATTTGGGACCTCCCCCCCCCTTAAATTTGGGGGACCCTCATAAATTTGAGACCCCCCCCACACACAAATTGAGGACAAACTGAGAATTCCCCCATAAATTGGTGACCCCCCCTTAAATTGGGGACCCCCCCATAAATTTGGGATCCCTCCCTTAAATTGGGGGTCCGTACCTTAAACTGGGGACCCCCCTAAAAATTTGGGACCCCCCCCATAAATTGGGGATCCCTCCCTTAAATTGGGGTCCCTCCCTTAAATTTGGTACCCCCCCCATAAATTGGGGATCCCCCCATAAATTGGGGGTCCCTCCCATAAACTGGGGACTCCTCTGTAAATTGGTGACCCCCCCCATAAATTGGGGACCCCCCCAAAAGTTTGGGATCCCTCCCTTAAATTGGGGGTCCCTCCCTTAAATTTGGTACCCCCCCCATAAGGTGGGGATCCCCCCATAAATTGGGGACTCCTCTGTAAATTGGTGACCCCCCCATAAACTGGGGATCCCTCCCATAAATTGGGGACTCCTCTGTAAATTGGTGACCCCCCATATAAATTGGGGACCCCCCCAAAAATTTGGGATCCCTCCCTTAAATTGGGGGTCCCTCCCTTAAATTGGTGACCCCCCCTATAAATTTGGGACTCCCTCCCTAAATTGGTTCCCCCCCATAAATTTGGGATAACCCCCCATAAGTTGGGGATGCTCCCATAAATTGGGAAATCCCCATAAATTTGGGATCACCTCATAAATTGGTGACCCCCCATAAATTTGGGATCCCCTCCCCATCACAAATTGGTGACCCCCCCATAAATTCCTTCCTCTCCATAACTTCGGGATCCCCCAATAAATTGGGGACCCTCCCCATAAATTTGGGACACCCTCGTAAATTCGGGATCCTCCCACAAATTGGGGAACCCCCTCATAAATTGGGGGTCCCCCCTATAAATTTGGGGGCCCCCCCTCAGGCCTGGTCCTCGCTCAGTAACATGTTGGGAATCCCTTTGGAGATCGGGAATCGCCTCCCCGAGTCCGGGCACTGCAGGGACCCCTCCAGCACCTCCACCTGGGGGGAACACAAAAAGAGGGTCGGGGGTCCTCCAGCTCTGGGGACCCCCCCTAGGGGGGTTGGGGACCCCCCCATCCCCCCTCACCTCGAGCAGGACGTGGTGGAGCCTCCTCAGGAACTCCTCGTCCCCCTCGTAGTCGGGGGTGGGTTCGGGGGGCAGCTCCGAGGGGTGCCCCAACTTTTTTTGGGGGGGTAAAGAGGTTAAAAAGGGGTTAAAAAGGGGTTAAGGGGGGTTGGGGGACCCCCCCCAAAAAAATGTCCCCCCCTGTGCCCAAAATGGTGCCAAAAACACCCCAAAAATGGAGACCCCCCTCAAATTGGGACCTCCCTCCCCATCCCCCCAACCCAGAGAACCCCAATTGGGACCCCCAAACCTGGGGCTCCCCCTACCCTGAGAACCCCAAACAGAGACTCTCCCCCTCAAAGTCCCCCAGACCCCCTCAAAATCCCCCAAATCCCCCTCCTCATGCTCTGGGCCGCCTCCTGAGCACATCCCAACCCCTGGAGCCCCCAAACTCCCCAAAGCCCCCCAGAGCCCCCAAATCCCCCTCCTCACGCTCTCAGCCGCCTCCCTGAGCACATCCCAGCCCCCAGACCCCCAGAGCCCCCCAAATCCCCCAGACCCCTCAGAGCCCTCCAGACCCCCGCAAATCCCCCAAAGCCCCCTCCTCACGCTCTCAGCCGCCTCCTGAGCACGTCCCAGACCCTGAGACCCCAAAGACCCCCCAGAGCCCCCTCCTCACGCTCTCGGCCGCCTCTCTGAGACATCCAGCCCCCAGACCCCCTAAATCCCCCTCCTCCACGCTCTGGGCCACGTCCCTGAGCACATCCCAGCCCCCAGACCCCCCAGAGGCCCCCTCCTCACGCTCTCAGCCGCCTCCCTGAGCACATCCCAGACCCCTGGAGCCTCCCCAGCCCACCCCAAGCCCCCTCAAATCCCCCCAGAGCCCCCTCCTCCACGCTCTCAGCCGCCTCCCTGAGCACGTCCCAGCCCCCAGACCCCCCAAGACCCCCAAATCCCCCTTCTCACGCTCTCAGCTGCCTCCCTGAGCACATCCCAGACCATGGAGCCCCCAGACACCCCAAAGCCCCCTTAGACCCCCAAATCCTCCCCAGACCCCCTTAGAGCCCTCCAGACCCCTGCAAATCCCCCTCCTCACGCTCTGAGCAGCCTCCTGAGCACATCCCAGACCCCCAAAGCCCCCTAGACCCCCAAAGCCTCCCAAATCCCCTCCTCACGCTCTCAGCCGCCTCCCTGAGCACGTCCCAGACCCCCAGACACCCCAAAGCCCCTTAGACCCCCAAATCCCCCTCCTCACAGCTCTCAGCCGCCTCCTGAGCACATCCCAGCCCCCGCAGACCCCCCCAAACCCCCCCTAAATACCCCTCCTCACACTCTCAGCCGCCTCCCTGAGCACGTCCCAGCCCCCAAAGCCCCCAGAGCCCCCAGAGCCCCCTCCTCACGCTCTCAGCCGCCTCCTGAGCACATCCCAGCCCCCTGAGACCCTAAACTCCCCAAAGCCCCCAGAGCCCCCAAATCCCCCTCCTCACGCTCTCAGCCGCCTCCTGAGCACGTCCCAAGCGCAGCCGCGGCACCAGGCGGGACACGAAGGCCGCGTTGAGCAGGACGGGCCGGACCCAGACCTCGGCGGCCTGGGGGGATGTGGGGGGTAGTGTGGGGATTAATTAAGGGGGCTAATTGAGAAGGGGACATCGAGAACAGGGAATGGGATGGGTCAGATCCAACCCAGGGGAAAAAGGGGATTAATGGGGGTTTAATGGGAATAAGGGGGAACAAGAAGGGGATGGGGATGGACCCGAATCTCAGGGGATTGGTGGGGAAGGGAGAAGGAGGGTGGGGAGCTTTCCTGGGAGGTTCTTGGAGTGAGACCCCGATCTGACCCCCCTCCCTCCCCTGGGAGGAAACCCCCTGAACCCCTCGATTTTCAGCAGGAAGCCCCCTGGGCTCTATTTCCAAGGGGAACCCCCAGCCCTTCTGTTCCCAAGGGAAGCCCCCATAGCCCTATTTTCAGAGAAGCTCCTCATACTTCTATTTTCAGTGAAGCCCCCTGCTCCGATTTTCAAAAGGAAGCCCCTCACCTCAATTTTCATCAGGAAGCCCCCGTACTCCTTTTTCCAAGGGAAGCCCCCTGCCCCTATTTTCAAAGGGAAGCCCCCTCACCTCAATCTTCAGCGAGAAGCCCCTCAAGCTCCCATTTTGAAAGGGACCCCCACCTCGATTTTCAGTGGGAAGCCCCCCATAACCCCATTTTCAACAGGAAGCCCCCCCATAACCCCATTTCCAAGGGCCCCTTCCCCCTCAATCTTGAGAGGAAGCCCCCATAACCCCATTCCCAAGGGGAATTCCCCCCAATTTTCAGCAGGAAGCCCCCGATATTTTATGGGAAGCTCCCCATAACCCCATTCCCAAGGGATCCTCCCCACACCTCAACTTTTAGAGGGGGAAGGACCCCATAACCCCATTTCCAAGGGGACCCCTCCCCACCTCAATTTTGAGGAGGAAGCCCCCAAGCTCCATTTTCAAGGGACCCCTCCCCACCTCAATTTTGAGGGGGAAGCCCCCCCCGATATTTTATGGGACCCCCCACACCTCAATTTTGAGGGGGAAGCCCCCCCCGGGCCGCAGCCCCGGCACGTGCGAGCTCAGCAGGTTGTGGGTCAGCAGCTTCATGGCGGCCCCTCCCGGAAGTGACGTCCCGGAAGTGACCAAAAGTTACCTGGGCAACCGAGGGGCGTGACCGGAACAAAAAGGGGCGTGGCTTCGAGTAAAGGGCGGGGTTTGGGACCCCCAAATCTTTTCTAACCCCCCCATTTTAACCCCAATGTCCCCCCGTTTTACCCCCCCATTCGCAAATTCTCCATTTCCACCCTCGTTTTTTCCCCAAAAATCTTTCCCCACCCCTCCCCCCTTTTTCCCCCCATACACCTCCAATTTTCACCCCCCACCCTCAATTAACAGCCCTCCCCCAATTCTACCCCCTGCACCCCAATTTTCAATTCCTCCCACCTCGTTTTCCCCATGAACCCCAAATCCTTCCCCAACCCCCTTTTCAACCCCCTGACCCCCCTTTCAATTTCCCCCAAATCTCTCCCCACCCCGTTTTATCCACCCCCACCCCCAATTTTACCCCCAAACCCCAAATTTTCTCCTCTGTCCCCCCCAAATTTCCATTTTCCCCTCGTTTTTCTCCTGTGAACCCCAAATCTTTCCTCCCCCCACCCCAATTTTACCTCTTTTACCTCCCCTGCCCCCTAATTTTGTCCCACCCTCCCCCCAATTTTAGGCCTCTCCCAGGTCTCAGTGACCCCCCCAAACCCTGGGGGGGACCCCCAAATTCCCCCCAAAAAGAAAAGAAGGGGCACAAATGCAGTTCATTTATTCACCAACTGGGAGGGGGAACCCCAACACCCCCCAAGGGACACAGAAAGAAACCCCCCAGAACCCCAAAACTTCCAAGGGCCCCCCAAAAGGGAGTGTGTGTGTTTTGAGGGGGGGGGGAAAGAGACCCCTAAATAGAAGAGGAACCCCAAAAATTGGTTTTTGGGGAGGAGAAAACAAAAAGAGACCTCCCCCTCCCCAAAAAATGGGGTGTAAGGCCACATGTGGGGGCTGGGGGGGCCCCAAGGCTCTAATGATGGGGGTGGGGGTGAAATTTTGGGGGTCCCAGGGTGGGGTTCCCCTGTTCTGTGTGGGCTGAGGGGGGGGGATTGATCCACATTCGGGGTGGGTTGACGGAATTTTGGGATTTTGGGATGGAATTTCCCCGTTTTAGGGGTGTGGAAGAGGATCCATGAACTTTTTTGGGGAGCTTGGAGTAGGGGGAGGGGAGTTGATGCAGTTTTGGGGTCCTGCTAAGGGGGTGTGGATGCAGTTTTGGGGTTCCCCTGTTTTGGGGGTGCTGTGGGGGTGTCAATGAAATTTTGGGGTTCCCCTGTTTTGTGGGTGCTGTGGGGGTGTCAATGCAGTTTTGGGGTTCCCCTGTTTTGTGGGTGCTGTGGGGGTATCAATGAAATTTTGGGGTTCCCGTTTTGTGGGTGCTGTGGGGGTATGGATGCAGTTTTGGGGTTCCCCTGTTTTGGGGGTGCTGTGGGGGTGTGGATGCAGTTTTGGGGTTCCCCTGTTTTGGGGGTACTGTGGGGGTGTCAATGAAATTTTGGGGGTACTGTGGGGGTGTCAATGCAGTTTTGGGGCCCTCCTGCTGTTCTGGGGGTGCCAGGGAGGGGTCTCAATGCCCTTTTGGGGGGGTGTTGGTGACAGTGGGGGGGGTTTCCAAGGCAGTTTTGTGCTGCTGAGGATGAGGGGGGTGGGGAGTGGCATTTTTTAGGGGTGCAAAGGTGAGTTTTAGGGGGGTCCCTACGCCTTGTAGGGGAAGCTGAGCAGGACCCCCTCGTAGGGCTGGAGCTGCAGCTGCCCCAGCTCCACGAGGGACCCTTGGGGGCGGCCCCGGTGGGTGCTGAGGCGCAGGGTGGCCCGGGGGGGCAGCTGGGGGTGGCTGAGGCTGCCCTGGGGCAGGGGCTCCCCACGGGGGTTGAGCAGCAGCAGGAACCGCTCGTTCTGGTCCCAGCGCCGCAGGACGGCCACGGCCCCCCCGGCCCCCACCACCTCGGCCTCCCCCAGCGACAGCGACCGCTCCCGGGCACGCAGCCCGCCCAGGGCCCGGCACAGCTCCAGCACCTGCCACTGGGGGAGGGGAGGAGAGGTCAGAAAAGGGGGTGGGGAACCCCCAAACGCGGCCTCGGGGTAGGGGGACAAAGGGGGGGTTGACCCGCTGAGGATGAACCTTGGGGTGTTGCCCTTTTAAGGGTGGCATTGCCCTTTTAAGGTTGCATCACCCTTTTAAGAGTGTGTTGCCATTTTAAGAACAAAGCTGAGCCAACACCTCTTCAGGGACCCACCTGAGATGTTGCCCTTTTAAGAACAGCCCCAAAGTGTCACTCTTTAAAGAGCCATTCCTGGCATTGCCCCTTCAAGAACACACCTGAAGCCATTGCCCCTTTAAGAACTCACCCCCCACCCCCCCCAAGGACTAGGTTAGGTGGCCCCACCCCCTGGGGTTTTGCCACTTGAAGGACAAAGCCCCGCCCACCTCCCGTGGGCGTGGCAGAGTGTAGACCCTCTCCCTAATCAGACCCCTCCCCTTATTAAACACAGCAATGTTGCCCCTTTAAAAGAGCCCCGCCCTCTTTAGGACAAGCTCCACCCCTTAAAAGCCAGGCCACGCCCCCTTCCTCTAAAGCTCCGCCCTCAAGTGCCACACCCACTTTGGAGCAATTGACACCCAAAAAGATCTGTCCTTTTTGAGGCCACGCCCATTCCTCAAAGCCCCGCCCTCTTCCCTGAAGCCCCGCCCTCTTTCCCCAAAGCCCCGCCCACCTCGGAGCTGTTCCCGCCCACTTGGAGGTTCTGGATTCGCTCCCAGGGCATCGGCAGGGGGCCAGTGGGGAGGGGAAAGGGCCAGGTGGGGAGGGAAAGGGCGGGGCCAGTCGGAGGAGAAGCACCCCAATTCCCACCCCCCAACCCCAAACCCCACGCCTTGGACCCCCAAAACGCCCCCAAAATCCTCTTTGTTGAACTCTCCCAACCCCTCCCTTGAAACAACTCCCCCAGTCCTCCCAAGAAATTATCCCTGCAGAGCCCCCCAAAACCACCTCTAGAGAACCCCCAAAACCACCTCTAGAGAACCCCCCAAAAACCACCTCTAGAGAACCCCCAAAACCACCTCCACAGACCCCCCAAAACCACCTCTACAAACACCCCAAAACCACCTCTAGAGAACCCCCAAACCACCTCTAGAGACCCCCAAACCACCTCCACAGACCCCCAAAACCACCTCTACAAACACCCCAAAACCACCTCTAGAGACACCCCAAAACCCCCAAAACCCCCTCTACAGACACCCCTCAAAACCCCTCTAGAACCCCCCAAACCACCTCTAGAAACCCCCTAAAACCCCCTCTAGAACCCCCCAAAACCACCTCTCAGAACCTCCCAAAACCACCTCTAGAACCCCCCCAAAAACCCCAAAACCACCTCTAGAAAACCCCCAAAATCCCATCTACAGAACCCCCCAAACCACCTCCACTGACCCCCTAAATCCTCCTCTGAGCTCCCCCAAATCCCCTCCCATCCTCCCCCAAGCCCCCCAAAAGCAGCACCAGCCCCCCAACACCCCAATATTCTTCCCCAGCCCCCCCACCCCAAAACCACTCCCCAGGCCCCCCAAATCCCCAATATCCCCTAAATCTCCAGTATTCCACCCAAATCCCCCCCAAACCCCTAAATCCCCAATATCCCCCAAACCACCCCTCAGACCCTGCAAATCACCCCCAGGCCCCCAAAATTCCCCCAAATCCCCAGCCCTCCAAACCACTCCCAAGCCCCCAAATCTCCAATATACTCCCAAATCCTCAAATCTCCCCTCCAACCCCCCAAATCCCCCTTTAGCCTCCCCAAACCACCCCCAATCCTCAAATCCCCCTCAGCCTCCTCAAATCCCCCTTTAACCCCCAAACCATGCCCCAGGCCACCCAAATCCCCCAGGCCCCCCCCAAAACCCCCAAATCCCCCTCCAAATCCCCTAAACTCCCCCACCCCCAACCTCCCCCTTGTCCCTCCAACCCCTCAATATCCCCCTCAATCCCCCCAAACCATCACCCAGTCCCCCAAATCCCCCGCTATCCCCCAACCTCTCCCAGCCCTCTAAAACCCCCTAAATCCCTCCCAGCTCCCCCAAAATCCCCAAATCCCCCCCCAAATCCCACCTTGCTGCCGGGGGGTCGCTGCAGCCCCACCTCGTCCCCGTAGCTCAGCACGGGGGTCCCGGGGAGCCCCCAGACCAGCAGCAGCAGTTGGGGGGTCCTCAGGGGGCTCCCCCAGGCCTCCCAGGGGGTCCCAATCTGCACAGGGGACAGGGGGGGCTCCGTCACCTCTGGGACCACCCCCCCTTCCCCAAAATCCAGGAGGGGACCCCCCAAAAAAAAGAGTTCAGGAGGAGCGGGGAGGATTTTGGGGATGATTTGAGGTGGTCCCAGGTGGTTTAGGGGGGCAGGGGGGATCCAAGAGATTTACTTGGGGGTCTTGGGGGCACGGAGGGAGGGGCTACTGGGAGGTCTGTGGGGGGTTTGGGGGACTCAGAGGGGTTTTGGGATCACTCACAGTAGAGACCAGGCTGGTTTTGGGGTTCAGGGGTCTCAGGAGGGTTTTGGGGTCTCAGGGAAGGTTTTGGGGTCTCAGGGAAGGTTTTGGGGTCACTCACAGTGCAGACCAGGCTGGTTTTGGGGCTCACAAGGATTTTGGAGTTCAGGGGTCCCAGGGAGATTTTGGGGTCACTCACAATCCATCCCAAGCCAGTTTTGGGACTCAGGAGGATTTAGGGGTTCAGGGGTTCCAAGGTGGTTTGAGGTCACTCACAGTCCATCCAAAAAGAGTTTTGGGGTTCAGGAGAATGTAGGGGTCCCAGGGAGATTTTGGGGTCACTCACAATCCATCCCAAGCCAGTTTTGGGGCTCAGGAGGATTTAGGGGTCTCAGGAGTGTTTGAGATCACTCACAGTCCATCCCAAGCCAATTTTGGGGTTCAGGAGGATTTAGGGGTTTCGAGGAGGATTTGGGGTCACTCACAATCCATCCCAGGCCGGTTTTGGGGCTCAGGAGGATTTTGGGGTTCAGGGGTTCCAAGGTGGTTCGGGGTCACTCACAGTCCATCCAAAAAGAGTTTTGGGGTTCAGGAGGATTTAGGAGTTTCAAGGAGGGTTTTGGGGTCACTCACAGTCCATCCCAGGCCCGTTTTGGGGTTCAGAGGTCTCACAGAACGTTTTGGGGCTCATGGATCTCAGAAAGGGTTTAGGGATCTCAGGGAGGTTTTGGGGTCACTCACAGTCCAGCCCAGGCCGGTTTTGGGACTCAGGAGGATTTAGGGGTTTCAAGGAGGGTTTTGGGGTCACTCACAGTCCAGCCCAAGCCAGTTTTGGGGCTCAGGAAGATTTAGGGGTTTCAAGGAGGGTTTGGGGGTCACTCACAGTCCATCCCAGGCCGGTTTTGGGGCTCAGGGGTCTCAGGGAAGGTTTTGGGGTCTCAGGGTGGTTTGGGGATCTCAGGGGTGGTTGGGGTCACTCACAGTCCATCCCAGGCCGGTTTTGGGGCTCAGGAGGATTTAGGGGTTTCAAGGAGGGTTTTGGGGTTACCCACAGTCCATCCCAGGCCGGTTTTGGGGCTCAGAGGTCTCAGGAAGAGTTTTAGGGTCTCAGGGAAGGTTTTGGGGTCTCAGGGAGGATTTGGGGTCACTCACAGTCCATCCCAGGCCGGTTTTGGGGCTCAGGAGGATTTAGGGGTTTCAAGGAGGGTTTTGGGGTCACTCACAGTCCAGCCCAGGCCGGTTTTGGGGCTCAGGGGTCTCAGAGAAGGTTTTGGGGTCTCAGGGGAGTTTGGGGTCACTCACAGTCCAGCCCAGGCCGGTTTTGGGGCTCAGCAGCTCCCTCAGCTCCCTGGCCATGCTGTCCCCAGGCAGGTTGGTCTCCACCACCTTCAGGAAGGGCCCCACGAGCAGCCCCAGCCCCCCCGTCCTGTTCAGAACCTCCTGAGGGTCCCGCAGGCGGGTGCCCCCCACCAGCACCCTAAAACAAGGGGACAGGGTCAGGGGGTCCCAGAACCCCAAAAATACCCCCAAAACCACCCCCAGAAACTCCAAAATCACCCACCAGCACCCTAAAACAGGG